AAACTCTTTGAGAGATTCATTTGAAAGGTCTACTTGAAGGTCAGATTACATTGTCAGTTATAAAGTGATCACGATTTTTGAGGAACTGGAAATATCACTGGAATATCACTGGAAAATCATAGTGGCATTTCACAGGGGAATGTGTTATTCAAAGTAAACAAGTAGGTAAGTGGGTAAACAAGTATATAAGCAGGTATGTAAGTGAGTGAGTAATTCTATTTATTAGTGCTTCAATCATTCTGGTGAATGGCACTATGCAGAAGTACAAAAATTAAAGAAGATAAAACCACACCATCTCAAATAATTACTGACCATTTTTTTTCTGTTGCTCTTTTCTTGCAAGGGGACATGCTAAAGGGAGGGAATATCTTATTGGAACCCAAAATTTTCAAAAATTTACAATTTTTTTTCACATTCAGAGGGCAAAATTCATGATAAACATTGCGTACCTGCTGCAATGCAACTATTATAAATACAAAATTCACCATGGAATATTAGGGGAAAATACACCCTATAATGAAGTAGGACATCCTGTTATAAATTAAAAAACAATTGAAATGGTGTATAATTTAACAAAACAATAACTTAGAAATCTGGATCAGAATATTCATCTTCATCATCCCATCCTGATTCCATTTTTCCTGCAGTAAAATCCACCTCTTTATCATATACAAAGCCATCATCTCCAGGTCTAAGTCTGTTCTTTTCAAAATCTTTATCCATGTCAGCTTTTCTCTTATCAAGTTCATAGTCATCCAGTTTATTAAGGTCTTCATCATGGTCAGTGTTTTTAGTCGATGGGTTTAAAAATGGCAAAGTATCAATCCCTTCCATGTTGTTCTGGATTCTTGTGAGCAGATTCTCAAGCTGAAAAGTTTAAAATAAATATTTTAGTAATGCTGTTATCATCACATAACCTGGCATGAGATAAACTGACATGACAAGATATAACCCCACAGCAAAATAAAAGTACACAACACTGCAGACATGTTACATAGCATAACATGAAATAATATGATATAACATTGCTTACATGTACACAATGCTCTCCATTTTATGTAAAAGTATACACAAAATGTTTGTCTGTGGACTACATGGTAAAGAAGGTCATAATTAAAACTCAATTTAAAGCAAAGAAACATAGCAATGACAAACCAATGACAAAGTTCAATAACAATAAATGAATACAATGAAACCACATTATAGAAATATACCTAAACCTTTACACCCTAACATCAGTATCTATATTCTTGTCTATACTTTCCTTTGGTACTAACAATAAGGATTTGTTTAAAACACAAAGCAATAGGTGATCATTTCTTGAATTTTGACTGATGATTTTAATGAATGATTCAGTGTTACTGTAATAAGAAGTTAGATGATGTTCGCACTTAAGATTTAAAGGGTTAAATAAATTGCTTATTAAGTACATTTATGGTAAATAAAATGCACTACCTGTTTGGCTGAGATGTTTTCTAAATATTTAGCATGCTTTGAGCTTTCCTTTAAATCATTCACCACTTCTGATATACTACAAGAAACAAAGATAGACATTCATCCATTATTTTCATTAATACACCCAGGTGACCATCCCTTGTGTACATAGTTAATATATAAATTAATATACCTTGTTCAATGGTTTAATATATAATACATGCTGATATTTTGTGAGTTGTATAGTCTTTCTCTGAGGCCCACAGTTGTGAGGAAAAAGACAAGCAATGATACAGAATTTATTATTCTACTCTTAGATCATTTTCTAGTTTTCAGGCTTTTAGTTTTCAAAATTTTGTACAATCTATCTGAGTACCATATGATCACACAAGGCATGCATAAAAAAAAAAAAAGAAAACAACACATTTTTTAGTGTTCTTGATGACCAAAAAAATTATTGTTGGCTTTGAAGTTTGTGGCTGAAAAGGTGAAAAACCATGTTTAATAAACAAGAAAGAAATAAAAGATAATGCAGATCAATTCTGTCTGTATTTTTAGCCTGTTCAACAGTGTATTTACCGTGGCATATTTTATGCACTCCATTACCCTAAAGTGGTAAATGGCATTATAATGGAATACCAATGTCAAATGATCATTTTATTGGCTTCATTTGTATTTTCATTCAATCAACAATAATCATCACCATAATGCAAACGTAACAAACGCAACCTGAAGCTGTGGTTTATTATGGGTGATATGACTGTAAAGAATGATATGTCATCCTCTGAAATAGAGGTACTGTGCAAAAAAATTTTTGAAGTCACTCCAATAACTAACTTGAACTTTTTTGGTTGAAAATAGAGACAGCTGTAGATATTAATATAACAACTAATGAAATGCTAGTGAAGAGCAAAAACTAACATAGCCAGACAGCTCTAAATAAATACCTACATTATAGGATTATTTATTTCCAGGGTTTCAAGACAGATGATGAGGCTTATTTAAACTTACTAAAAGGCAAATTGAAATCCATGGAATGTTTTCCATTTTTAAAAAGTAGGCAAAACATTAATTTGTGGAGACATAAACATGACATGATTATTCATTTCAGATACCGATCCCTTGCAGAAAATAAAACATTGTAAACAATTGCATGAAATCAAGTAATATTGAATATTTAACCATATTCACTGAGCCTGAGGCAAATAATTATTTTGTGCTTTTAAACTGTTATTGAAAGGTGCTTTTGTTGTGTTGTTGAAACCATCCTTTCATTCTTGTTTTGATTACTTATATCTAGATAAGCAGCCAGTTTCCAATAGAATTTCATTTAATTCAATGTTTACCTAATTCATTTGGCAAAAACTTCATAGCTCTCTTTTGAAAAGTATCACACCAAACTTAGAGTTCTCTTCAGAATTTTATTTTCTTCTATTGCATGTATCACTACTGTGGTAACATTGACAAAACATAAAGCAGCCATTTAGCATCCTGCTAGAATCACTGTGGGTGAGGTGATTGTAGCAAGATATGTCGCAGTATAGCACTGCAGCAATTATACTAAACAGCATGAGGGTCAGAATGGCCTGGTGGTCAGCCTGCTGGTAAAGGAGTGTGCCTAAGAGTGGGCCTCATGCCCTATAATCTCACCATAATATGTACACTTAGGCAAGACAGTTAACTATCATAGTGTCTTTTTCACTCAGGAGTAAAAATGTGTAATTATAAACTGTTAGGGGAACATGTGGTGGCCAATAGTTAGTGTGCTGGACTCCCATTTTAGAGGTCCTGGACCAAGACCAAGCTGTGGTCAATGAATTGTGTTCTTAAGCAAGACTCTTCAATGGTATGATTCTTCATTCCACCCAGGAGTATAATTGGGTTACAGAAACTGTCAAGGAAGCCTATCAAAATACTGGAGGGGGAGGAGATAGTACCCTGCCATGGACTAGCATCTTAGTCAGGGGGGTAGTAGCACTCCTGGTTGTTCCATGCTACAGAAACTGGGATTAGCTTTCACTGGATAGGGCAATTTCATTTAAGTGCAGACTTTATCATTGACTTTTTCCAAATCTCCAACTAAACCTAATAAGCTAAGATTGCATTATTTTTTAAAAAGATTGTTACATGTGTTCATACACCTACATGTAGGGTCTCTTGTGTGATGTGTACAAAATGTAGCTTACATGTAGGTTGAATGAAGAGATCCACAGTCTATTTTAGATACTTACCTTGAATCTTTACTTAACTTCCTTAATGGCATTGATCTCTTGCGTATTTTTCCTTGAACGAAAAAATTTAAGCTTTAAAACGTCAGTTGCACCCACATGCACAAACTGTTAGAGCAATGAAAAACTTGTCAGTCGCTTTTATGCCATGAGGGTTCACGTCACCTTCTGATATCACAGGCGATTTATGACTGAGAACAGTAAATACAATCGTAGCCCTTGATGTAAAAGAAAAGTAATTGTCCCATAACAGCTAATACTGTTTTTAAAATCAGTCTCTACCGTCAAGAGTTTTTAGTAAACCAAGTTACACTGAACCTTCAATGGTGCACTGTACCAAATCATTTTCACTCTACACACCTGAAAGATTGACCTCATAGTAAACTACCAGCGTTGGAGGTTCGTACTTAACACCGCACTTGCGGGGTGTGAACATCTCAAACCTATTTCAACTTTTCTGTACCCTACACATACTTTGTTTGTCTGTCTGTCTCTTGCCGTGTTGGCTGAACCGAGCCAGCGATTTACAAATCAGCAGACATGCTAAACAACCTAAGATCGCGCATAAAATTCTGAGGTATTCGTCTGTTCATTGCCCTTGAATGAAGGCGCGTGCTCGAGGTTGTCTGGGAAACTTCCGGTCAGAAATAAACAAGACAAGTTCAGGCATGACTTTCGTAAAACTAACGCAATTTTTATGATCAGCATTAAAAACTACATATTTAAAAGCTTGCATGCTAAAGGCATAAGAAACACTGCTAAGGAAGCGGGCGTTGATCTTAATGTCAGCGCAACGTAATTAGCTGGCGCCACGCTGGTTCATTCTTGTCACGCATGAGGCGAGATTCATTGAGGTTAGTCACATCTTGGAAAAATGGCTTCAAAGAGACCAAAACTATCGCGCGCTGGCACGATGCAGCAAACAGCTGAGGTGAGTGAAAATTTTGATACAAATCCACGAATTCCGATCCTCTTAAATCGATCTTAAAAATTATTTTATGTGACAGGTCTGTGTTTAAAGCTGTTGCAAGCTTACTTCGACGCGTGTTTTTTCGCGCATTTGCTTTCATGACAGACATGGGCTTTACATTACCGAAGTATTTTACTCTCATTAAAATCAGCGTTCGAGTTAGTCAAGCTCCAGTATTTTTATTTGATGCCGCGAAAAAGCGCCATTGGAATGGACGCACTGATACATGCTGTGACCCACGTATTTCCCGTACCCTGTGGTCACTGAGAATCGACCTCTGCGACCGTGTGTGCGGTTCGGCTTTTATCTATTTACTTTCCTTCACTCAGGAGGACGGAAGGGGAGGGGTGATATCAGCATAGATTGAGACTGAGTGGAAGAGAAACTGACGATTGTGAGCTTATCACTGCAGCTGCTATGTGCCAGCTTGTAATAGGCTTCGTTTCGTGTGTGTATTCGTGTTTTAAATCTTAGGAGCAGAGGAAATCGACCATATATTTGTAGATATGTTTAGGATAGGGTTTTTAAGTTCTTTCAGCAAATGAATGTGCTACGCTGAGGGTAGTAAAGAAGGGGTCCTTATCCTGTTTCATGCGCGAATTTAAGAAAAAATCACGCGTCACGTGCAATTTAAACAGTATTTCATGCGTCACGAATTTATAAGAAAAACTACAAATCTCACCTTTCTTTGCCTTTCCTGTTTGTAAAATTCACGCATCACGAATTCATTATGGGCTTAATCACGCGTCATTCATAAACCCCTGTGTTAACCCTTTGCCACGACCCTTTACACTGTTACCTCAGCCTGGATCATTCCCATGTCTAAAATAACTCGCTTGTTTTTCTTTGTCGTTCAATAGGAGGGCGCCGAGTTCTTGGCAAGACATGGCATTGAAAGTCCATCAGTGAAGTATGGACTTGGTGCACAAGACAATGATGATAAGAAACAAGAGGAACTGGATAATGATGACATTGAAACTACTCCTAAACGGCTCAAGAGACAGTCAACGATGGCTGAGACAGCTAAGGTAAAAACACAGAGATGTGCGTCGCTCGCCAACTTAGTACTGAAGATAGGGAAAATAGGAAAAAACCTTCTATTCCCGTTCAACGGGAAAATAAAGAATCCCTTGACGTATGCCATTCGCGAAATTATCTAGAATTTCATTCAAGATTCTGACTTTTACATTCTGTTTTGCTCTCTCAAAGGATTAATGTTAGTGCGCATCCAACTGACACTTGCAAGTTTCTTCTTCATGCTTAGGAAGGAGCAGTGTTTCTTCAAAGAGAAGGATACTCTGCAGACTCTCCTGATAGGACCCCGGCCGATTCATCAGAAGAAGACCAAGAAACCCCAAAGGTGAAACGTGCTTCAACCATGGAGGTCACAGCAAAGGTATTTCCTGAAAAGGCTTCATGGCAATTAACCCTTTAAACCCTAAGAGAGACTAGCATCTAATTTCTCCATACAATATTACCCCTGAATCAAACATTACGGTCATGAGAATGAAGGAAAGGATTACCAATAAAAGAAGCTTTTGATCAGTAGAAAAAATCTCCTTGTCAGCACCTTAGGAAATGTATAAAGAACAGTATGGAGAATATGCATAATGACATTAGGGTGAGAAGGGTTAAAATCAGAATGCGTTACGTTACTCCATAATGAATTCGTTTGCGCGGTATAAATAAATGTTATTATTACTATTATTATTATTATTACTTACTGAGACAAGAATGTATGCGTGAAAGTGAGGGAAATAAAGTTCAGCTACATATGTTTCGTTAATAAATGACAGGAAATGCACTGTGTTTGAATAAAAAAAAAAACATGGATTTGTTACTCAGCCAGTTCGAAGGTTTTTTTTTTGGTAGTTAGTTGTGGCGTGACACATTCTCATTTGGACATCAGTCACATCACGAACTAATATTACATTCGCTTAACCTTTTCACTCTCACGATCTTATTATTAATTTTTCATACAATTCTAATGATGTTGCTTTGGAGAATTCGGTATTGGGAATAACATTCCCCTGGTTGATACTTTATATTAATTCAGTCTCATTACATACTTGTCTGCTTGATATTGTTTTGATATTGTAAGGAGAAATTCTGTCTTGGTTACTTATGGGAGTTGAAGAGTTAATCACACAGTTTGCACACTAGCAAGTGTCACAAGAAACTTTTACCAAATTGAGTGAAGACAAAAAAAACAAATGACAAGTTTGTTTGTTTGTCTCTGTGGTTAACAAGGTAATTTGTCTAGAAAAGTTTTTACAGAAAATTTCGTCTCCTTTATAGCTGTCCTCTGGAATGTCACGAAACGAGCTTTTTTTTTGAGGGGAAAGGGGTGCGTGACATATCATGTAAGGGGAAAGAGGACAAGGAGATTAAGGGAAATTTTATGCCAACGATTTTTCATTAATAACTGCATGTAAGTGAGAAGTTTTTTGCCAAAGTATCTTGAGTACGATTTTTCATAAAGAATTGCTCTTACTAAAGAAAGCTTCCCACCGTCGATGAGACTTCAACTCGCACCGTTGAAGACGTAAACGCCATATTCCCAAGCTTCAGCGTGACTCCACTATTGACGTCACCGTTAAGGTAACCCCCCTCCCTACTGAATCATCTCATAGAAGGTTCAGGAAGCCACACGTCAAAAGACTGTGTCACAAATCTTAACAGCTTTCTTAAAATTTTATCCAGGCTTCGTTTGTGTGCTGAATCATTGAGTTTTGCAAAGTGCAAAACTACCTTCAGCTTGAAGGAAAGATGTAATAATGCCAAAGGTAGAATGTTGAGGTAGCAGTTGAGCCAAGTGACTCATTTGGTCGGAGCTTAGCCCAGTTTCCTTAGCATGAAGTGACCAGGGGTATTGCTATTCCCTTCTGGATGGGATGCTATTCCGTCCCAGATCACCCTCCAGCATTTCGTCAGATTTCCTTTACAGTTCACTAGTACTCATCCATACTCCTGTCTTGCTCAAGGACACAGCACTTTCACATGACCAAGTCTCAAACTCGAACCTCTCGTCCTGAAGTTCAGTGCAGTTCCTACCTTTTTGTTTATTTTAATAAAAATACTGGGATCAATATTAGTATCTGGGCACTGGGAATTACAAAACGCATCAATGAACATTGAGCAGGACGATTCAGACAAGTTTTTGGGTGGGGAAGGTCTCTCCCTTCCTAACAGAAGTCTCTTAAAGATGGACAGGATCAACACGCAATACAAATGACGAATTGAAAAAAAAAACAAATATTAACTGCTATAATTTTCGATTTTACATGAAGTTCTATCACCTAATGCAATCTTGATTACCAGTATATTTTGGCTTTGATAGTCTTTTGTCCCTCCGATATTGTTTTTAGGAGGGCCAGGAGTTCTTGCAACGGACAGGGGAAATAAACGAAAATGAACTAGAAGAAGGTTCAGCAGACACACCATCTCGTCCCAAGCTACAACGAAACTCAACAATAGATGTAACAGTGAAGGTAAACCCTAGTTTTTACTGTGAAAAACGTTGTGAAATTTTCATAATGCCTGACTTATCTAGCTGTGTGTTCGATCTGCTACCCTACCAGAGAAAAAGTGAAGAGACTTAGCCGATAGCAGATGCCGTAGGAAATGTTAGTAATGTTTTGGGGAAGGGGCAGGAAGAGGCTCTGCTATGAATTTTTGTCGAGGATGATTCAGTGTATGGTTCAATCCGGAACTGACAGTCAATTAAATTGTGCCTAGGTCTTGTTAGTCTATGAAGGACTGTTCTTGGTGTCAGTGAGCAAAGTTTCGATTCGAATACTTGCAGTAGAGTTAAGTAACTTTTGAAACTGTTCTTCCGAATGTGATAATTACTGCCGCTCAAGTTTTCAGCTGTGTGATCACTTCGTTCGATCGATTTCCCCCTGTTTCTTGAAATCCTGAGCCCCTCTTAAGTCTTACGTGATTTTAGAATATTTTGCGCTTGTTTTACTTGTCATCTCTGTCTCCCCTTTTCTTAACTGTAAAATCTGTCCTTGAAAAGTTTTTATTTTTGACAATTATGACGTGTCAAGTTTTGGATAAAGAAGCTTTCTTGGAAAAAAAAAAAAATCAAAGCAACCATTAAGACTGCGAATAAAAACTTTTGAAGGCAACGGTGCTACTTTTTAGCACTTTACGCATAAGCTAAGTCTTAATCGAGTGAAAATCTGTTCACTGTTGAACAGGAAGGAGAGGAATTCTTACGACGATCCGGGGCCCTGTCAGAGGAAGGAGGTGACGAGATATCCATCGGTAAAGACGATGAAGATGACGACGATACGAGAGCCCAGGATGAGGAAAATAATGATGAGTGCATTCCTTCACTTGTGCGTGACACGACCATGAAAGAGACAGCCAAGGTAAGGAATATTGCAAAGCAATCGATCGACTTCCATAAATAATAATACATGTATAAAAGACGGCCAGTATACTTGTTCAGCCATTTTAATTAATTTAACCCATCCATAG